TAGGATAGGTTGCAGTGTTGGATTATGTCTCTCTTTACCACCTCATGTTCTGGAGGTTGCAGTGTTAGATCATGTAGGTATATCCTATTGTATCTAAGGTCTCTCTTTGCCGCCTCATGTTCTGTAGGATAGGTTGCAGTGTTGGATTATGTCTCTCTTAACCACCTCATGTTCTGGAGGTTGCAGTGTTAGATCATGTATAGCCTAATGGATCTCAGGCCTGTCTATACCGCGTCATGTTCCGTGGCATGCATTGCAGTGTTCGATCATGTATCCAATTGTATCTCAGGTCTCTCTTTACCGCCTCATGTTCCGTGGTATGCGTTGCAGTGTACGATCAAGTGACAGTAATAAACATGCTGAACAAGCTTCCTGGGTTGCTAGGTTATTCTAGTTGCTGTGTGTAAGCACATGGACTGCATTTTGAGTTTATCACGTGAAACCCTTCAATAAAAAGATTGGTATTTCTGATTTGACATTCGCTAACATGAAAGGCTAACATTTAAATTAACAAATTAAAATTGTACTCAACGTCACATTTGGTACCTATACTTACTTATCATTTAGTTCACCTGACACTAGGTGCAATAAGAATGGAATCATATGATTTTTAGTTTTTACCGACTCCGACCCACTTGTGCACTGACGGCAGTGAGGTTTCCCTCGATACTTTAAAATTTTTTGTGCTTCTGAATATAGAGTAGATATTGCATTCATCTCTCCACTGGAAGTCGCACTCGGTGCGTAAAGTTACAACATTGTTTTCCATAATGAATTAACTGACACGAAAATCCCATTGATAATCTGTGCATTGTGATATGTTGCACTATGCTGATTAAAAAATTGAACACAAAGCACCGAGTCTCATATTTATTTCTTAACTCCATTTTTATCTCCTCAAAAACTAGTAAAATTACTTATCAGAATGAAAAATTTTCCACTGCACAGGTCTGGCGACATGGAAGAAGTCACCACTGGTCACCTGGAGAAGCGTGAACTCCTGCAGCTGCGTAACGAGATGGCATCATACTTTGCCAGGCCACCTGCTGTGCAGGTAATTTCGAAATCTCGGTATTCCACTTCGATAAAATTCAATTAACATCTCAATTGGCAAATGTGTGTGTACTGCTGCCCAATATTTTTCAAATTTTCTTGCTGATTTGGCTTTAAACATTGATTTTGTTAATATTGGCTTTAATACAATTATTCCTCAAATTGCGTTCTAGTTTCAATCTAGTTGCGTTCAGAATTTGATAAGATAAGAACGATCTGGAAGATAAAATAAAATAAGAATACATTGCAACCATCATATAAACTAAGATAAAATAGAATAACAAGAATCAATCCCTGCAGAAGGATGGGAAACTGGCCTTACCCTCGTTGCCCTCACCCATCGACCGTGAGAGGGCGTGTCAGGGCTGCCCTCACCTGCTGGTATGCACTGCCCTCAACACAGCTCCTCCCTCACCACCTCATGCCATGGCTTCCCTCGTGCCCGCTACCCTCGCACATCTACAACCTGTCAGTTCTTTTATGATTTACAGTTTTTTCCATTTTTATTCATTTTCATTTCATATTTGTTTCATATCATGTCCTACTTTTCACATTGAGGTTTATTGCAGATTATAAGAAAAACCTTTGGTTTTTTGAATTTTATGAATTGACTTATCTCATTATCACAATATGTTATTGTTCTTTTGAGAGTAATATCGCCTATGTCGCCTGTGAAGCTTTTTAGCTTAGATACCTGCGCTCCGACGTTTTTTTATTGTGTGCTCTCGTGTGAATAAAGAATAAAAAAGTACTTTATTTATTATAAAACTTTTCTCCGGGAATGAATGATAAATTATATTGCGGATGATAACTTACAAAGGGAAATGAAAATAAATTACTAACATAAATCTTGAAAATATTATTTCATTTCTTTTTCGCGATTAAATAAGAATTTTAAGACTAAATACATATCTGGCATATTAAAACTTTTTTAGATGATAATTGATTATTTTATCTAGGTACGTACTCGGAGACTTGAATGTAGATCATATTCCCAGAGCTGGGCAGCGCTACTTTGAAATGTAGCGGTGCTACCGCTACAGTAATATGTAGCGCCGCTGCATTAGCCGCTACAATGGCCAAAATTAGTGGAAATCCCTAAATATTTATTGTTCTGCTATTAGGATTTACTCATAAACATTTCATGATAATAAAACATTTTCAAAACATATCAATGCAACTTTATAGCAATTAACCTAACCGAACTAGTGCGGGTTAGATACAGTAAATAAAAGTTAGTTATTTTTATGTTTTACCTTCCTTACATGAATGTCTACTTTAATCTACCAATCTCAAAAATTATCCACATATACATAAAAAATCAGTCTTTTTTTGTATATACATGTATATGTGGATTATTTTTGAGATTGGTAGATTAAAGTAGACATCCATGTAGGGAAGGTGAAACATAAAAATAACTGTGTAAAAATAACTGTAAGCAAACTGAAATATGAGAAAAAACCTGTAAGTGGTAAGTGGTAGCAACTTATCAAGTAACAACTAACATGTTGACACTAGCTAGTAACAGGCTGAGGTTGACAACATTACACCGAAATCTTTCGTACAGTTTTATTCTGTAATTTGTATTATGTACGGTATGTATCATGCTGGTTTTTAAATAATATTTAATACTATTAAGTAAAATCTAAAGCAGTGGTTCCCCAACTTTTTCAGGCTTGCGCCCCCTTTGGCTCCCTAGTGAATTTCTATCGCCCCCCGCAGACATACTCCTCTTTCTTGAAATTTAGTACGCTGTAATTTTAAAAGATAAAGGTTAAACGCAAATGTGTAGTTCACAAATAGAACCCCATTTAGTGAACCAATATGTTTTTCAGCTGTTTTAACTGTTTCAGCACTAGAAACCTAGGACGTCTCGGGCAAATGTACGGCCGTACTCGTGGCCGGTCGCACGAGTAATCTCCAAATTCAATTATTAAGTAATATCTCCCAAACTAATGAACGCAGTTCAGTGAAACTTGGAACACGTATACATCAGAAACTAACGCGGATTTTTAGCTCGTAAAAATGATTAAATTTTACCTTCATTCGTGAGTTATATTGCGATACAGGCCAAAATTCGCAGCTAGTGATCACAGAATTTCTTCCAAACTACTGAACAGATTTGAACGAAATTTTGAATATACTTCCTAACTACCAAACGGTGATTTTTTTAGCTTGTAAAAAAAATTTCG